ATTTCAGGGACGTCATACTCACCTTTATGAACCCCGCAATACGTTGGGAACATCAACTCGTAGTTGCTTTTTAGTCGGTTTTAGCGAACCAGATGATTGAACGGCTTTGTTCCCCAATAGCGACGCATTTTCAGTAACAAAGTGATGTTCACCTCTTTTTCTTTTTTTGCCACTGAGGCTACGCTGTTTTGAATGCATCTCCTACTGGTGTTTGGTTTGGCGTCCCATGTCTTGCATGCATCGGAAGTGGTCGCGAAGTGGAGGCAAACCACGTCACAAAAGCCGGAGATTCATTCTGTCGGTTGTCGATGTCGTGGTTTATTTTGGCCGTACATGTTCCGGCCCAAAAACACGAGCAAACGCGAATGTCTCTTTTGTTTCAGCAACCCAACTCCTGGCTGCAGAAGCTTTCGTGGACAGGCATCTGCCGCATCCATCGCTGCTTCTCTGACACCACCAAGATGTCGGTCGGCGACAGCGAGGCACTTCTACGACCTCATAAAGCGGAAATCGAGTGACCGCTTTTGTTTCTTTAGCGCGGCAAATATACCAGTGAGGGTCACTTTTCCGGGACCAAGATAAGATCGGCTGTCTTTTAGAGTACGATATTAATCGCTATTATAATTCGCTTAGCTGACATTAAAAAAATAAACATGTTATGCGATGTTATTACTTTAAACCCAAAGATTATTTAGCGTGTAGTGTAATAAACAACGTTGAGCTACTTTTATTCGTGTCTTATACAGCGGGACCTCAGCTTGAAAAATGACCAGCGGCGTTATAGTTTTCTTTTGTTTTAGAAAGTAAGCTAATTAATAATTGCTGATAAAACTTTCCACTGTATTGTTTTTCCTTACAATACATGATTCGAGCATGTATTGTACTAATATACGTTAATCGAACAACTAGTATTTTTCAGTCATTTTAATGACCTATGACAAAGTTACAAAAGCCCTGATTTTTTTTGTAGAATCAGGGGCTGTGATTTAATGTATAAATCAAAAAAATACTGCAGGTAAAATAATCATGAAAAAGCAGTAATGATACATACGATTAAAATAAATCCATGCCCCGTCCCCACCTCAACCATACGAAATAAAAGCAAATCATGTACTATACGAGATGTTGATTAAGCAGCCTGTTTCCGGCGGAAAAAAAAAAAGAAGAACGGTTCCCAGAGGACGCAGACGATGCTCTGCAGGTTCATACGACATTCATGGCGTCTTCCGACGTCTTCAGATTGTTCGCGGTGCTTTCGTCGTGACAGCTTCAGCCGAAGCTTGTCTTCCATGCCCCAAACGCCAACCCTATCGGTTGGTGACGTATCCACTGCATCATTCATGCATGCCACGGACACAGGTAGAACGCGACATCGTTTTTGTTTCCTGGAGGTTACAGGAAAGCAGTTCACGGTGCCCACACCCTCGCAGCTGTCATTTCCACAAAGAGGACAAATCTATGCTTCCGTTTCGCTCTTATGTCAGACCACATCCGGCGCTACAAACCTGTGTGGAGAGCAAGTCGTCAGCTTTTTTTGTAAGTGTTGGGGTATGTCAGACTTATGCCGAGCTCTGATTGGAGTCGAAGGAAAGGGTAGTGGGTACACCTCAATGCTATATTCCTCGAGGTTTACCTACTTTTTTTTGTTCAATCAGGCAATAAGTGCTTGGCGTTCTGACATGACCCCAAACCTAGTGCAAGAGCAGACCAACTTTCTCTCCGCATAAGCCGATCAAGACGCGATAAAAAGTGCGTCGTTACGGCGACTGTCGTCTTTGGTGCGTTTTGCTTTCACAGGATAAACCAAATACGAGCAAAAGAGAGAAAAAAAAGACGCAGGACTACGTTGCACTTAGTTTGAGTGATTTGTTTACTCAGCGATAGCCAACGTACAACGACAGGCTTTTGGCGCTCCGAGAGGAAGTTAATGTAATCACCCGGAGCGAGCCCACAGCGCCCCCTCCCGACGCCCTGTCGCCCACACGTTCCCAGCGGGTCTTTCATATTGCAGGAGACTGTACGTGCTGAGCGTGGCAATATTTGTCTGTTGGGGTGTGGATTGCATTGCGATCGTGCGATGCTGCTCTGTTGAACGGCATATCAGACGCAGTACCTGTGTGTACAGCTCAGTGACTCAGCATTTTTCGTCCAGGCGGTAATCACTGAACACATCTATAGCATGCATATTTTGAGACCAAATAACGAGATATTTCTTTTCTAGCAGATTATACTTAAAAAAACACCTGCAGGCAACACTGCGCGCGTTGCATTATGGAACCTGGCTGGCCATGGAGAGGAGCGGGATGGCTTCTGTTTTGAAAGTTCCGTGGATAAGTACCGCATGGCAGCACTGCCTAGGATATAAAGTCAGCGCCCGCTCGCATTACAGCCATTCATCTTCGTGAGAGTCTTCGTTGAAATACAGACATCCAGCAGCCGTAAGGGCCTGCGCCTAGGATTAGCAAGGCTTAAACGAGTACGGCCTGCCGCGTCTCATACCTTTCTGGTGGCTTGGGTACCAGTGCAGGGTGCAGCAAGACTATCCCTGCTAACGGTAATTTAAGAAACGTAGGACACCGTGGATACGATAGAAGAGCCTGACCGGCACTCTATACTTCTCCCTTGCGCTGTACTCATCCTGCGTTAACCCGCGCAAAAACTCCGGCACGACGGGTGCCCCCCAAAAACATGTCCCAGCATTTTATCCGCACCGGTAGGACATACCTACAGTATTATAAATTCAAGTGAAACCACATTTTCAACAATGCAAACACTGTATTTGTTCTCGACAGGACGTCGGGAAGCGAGGTTGGCAAATCTAAACTGCAACATTGTGAACAAGCAGATCCCTAGACGTCATGCGAGGCATTATGCCGCTAGCATCGCTTCGATTTCGGAAGTGGTCTGGGCGGAGAGGAAGTCGTCTGCTTCTTGCGCATGAGTTGTGCTGACGTCAAAACGACGCCGAGCTCTGATTGGCTTTTATTGAAAGGATAGTGGATAGGCCTCATAAATAATTGACCTCAAGCTCCACACACTGTTTTCTCTTTCAATCAGCGAATAAGAGCCCGGCTTTCTGACACCATCCCACCCCCTGAGCAACAACAGACGAACTTGCGCTCCGGATGAACAAATCCTTAGGGCTTAATATTAAACGTCACCCACTGAAAGCCAGCTCGTGTCGTTCTTTAACCTGGACTCATGTTTTTTTTTTCTTTTTTTTTCTGAATACGACTCTCAACTACGCGCTGGCTCGTGTGAAATAAGTGCCGCCGCGTTGGCCTTCGGAAGGTGACGTAGTAAATCTATCACTAGGGCCTTGCCTTCCAGGAGGTGTAGGAGGGAGCCACAAGGAAGTAAGTTCTAAAGCTCGCATGCTCGCATGTTCTAAACACGCAATGGCTCGCCAGCACGGAAGCCCTTTTATGGATTCCCCAACCGTTGAAATCTAGGGGGAGCCTAAAAGAAGACAAGAACAAATACAGGGTGAAACAAGGAGACGGCAGGGTCTTTAAATCGACCGTAAAATTCGGTTTCTTAACCTACCGCGCTACGACTTTGTGCAGCGTTGCCCACAGATGGTGCATTTTTTTTTTTTTTTTTGTAAAGTTTGCAAAGAGCGAACTTACCTGAGGAAAAAGAAAAGAAAGAAAAAGGCTTAGCTCCTATGGAAAAGCAGCGACGCCACCGGTCTGCAAACAACACAGCGCCGTTTCGCAAGGGAGACAAAAGATGGCGCAAGTGGTTGCGACGCCAACTGCCGCCAACGAACGACAAGACGACGCCGAGGGCCGGCCCTTTTGCAGACAAGGAATTGCAGTTCCTTGCTGTTAACGCGCCCGTCTTTTTTGTTTCTGCGACTGTCGCCGCCTGCGGAACGCGCGCCGTTTTAGAGTCGAGAAGATCGTCTGCTAAAAAGGCCTGCTCTCGGCACCGTATGCTCGTTCGTTGGCGGCGTTTGTGAAACGGCGCCGTGTTGTTTGCAGACCGGTGGCGCCGCTGCGTTTCCATAGGAGCTGAGCCTTTTTCTTTCTTTACTTTTTCCTCGGGTAAGTTCGCTCTTAGCAAATTTTACCAAAAAAAAATGCACCATTCGTGGGCAACGCTGCACAAAGTCGTAGCGCGATATGTTAAGAAACCAAATTTTCCGGTCGATTTAAAGAGCCTGCCGTCTCCTTGTTTCACCCTGTAGACCATTTCCTATATTCCCAAGCGCCCCGGCCCGCACTCGAGGAATCATGGGAACGGTGTTCCTTCAGCGCCCCAGGGATCGCTAATTTTCGACAAACTCCATCTTTACACAGTATACGAACGTAATTTGCAGCCACCCTGAACAAGCGCCTGATATACCCCAAGGACCTGTCATATCACTTTTAAAATTGCTCGTCAATGTCAGCATTTCTTATACTGCGCATGCGGTCCACCTTTCAACCTGGCTGAGCTGCAGAAATCTCTTACAATATTGTCATTCTCGTGATTGTTGTTTTAGCACAAATTGCTTATAAGGCCGATAATTCGCAACAACAAAAACCAGGATTTAGCTCGGAGTCCGCGGGGCTGTTTATGGCATTTTTAGCGTTTATAACTTAATATCAGCGTTATAATAATATAATAGATTTCTGCAGCCTATTCAGGTTGAAGGGTGGACAGCATGCACAGTATCAAAAACGCTTACATTGAGGAGAAAGCTTAAAAGCGATATGACAGATCATTGGTGCATATCAGGCGTGTCTCAAAATTAAAGAGGTCGTGTGGGCGTGGTATCTAAATCAGGCAATAAGCGTAAAAACAAAACACAAACTGTATTTACACTAATAAATCAATTGAATATACATCATTACACAGAAGTGTCTCGATCGGCTTCTGTCGTTCGCCTCGTTCCGCTCGTGCCTCGAGCCTTCTTCTTTCTTCTCGTTTCTCGTGAGCTTCAAATTCTTTCCAATCTGCAACATCCTCCCCCCCCCCCCTTCTTTCTTTTTCCGCGTGAGAGTTGCCTTGGTTCATTCACTTGCCAGTTCCAGGGGGTAAAGGAGCTGCACGGGGCGCCGAAGCGTTACCCCGCTCGGTAGGCGCACTAGACAGGAACGCACGTGGTTGTCTCTGCCCAGCTGAACTGTTTCGATCCTCCCCGTTTTCCATATGAGCCGTGGGGTCTTGTCTTCGTGAACAAGAACGAGGTCCCCGTTCTGTAGGTCGTTTGTCCACGTCTCGGGCGATCGGTGTGCGGAGCGGAGCTGAAGGAGGTATTCCTTCCGCCATCTCCGCCAGAATCGGTCCAGTAGTTGCTGCCTGTGTAGTGAACGTCTGGTAATGTCCCCTCTCGCAGAACCTGGTATAGTTTCTAGGTTGACTGATGGGAAAGCCGTCAGACGCCTGCCCAACAAGAAGTGCGCAGGCGTTAAAGCCTCCTGCTCGTGTGGAGCGTCGTTAACAGGGGCCAAAGGTCGAGAATTCACGACGGCTTCAACCTCTTGGAGCATGGTCGTTAGTTCTTCGAAACTAAACTTGTTCCTTCCTAGTATGTTCCGTAGACTACGCTTCACTGTCTGGACCATTCTTTCCCAGAACCCGCACCACCACGCTGCTCTCTCAGCGATAAACTTCCACTTTATCCGATGTTGTGAGCAGTGGTCCTGGAAGCGGCGGTTCGTGAGCACGTCCCATACGCCGCATAAGTCCTTTGCTGCCCTCTTAAAGGTGAGGGCATTGTCTGAGTAGACAACACTGGGTAAGCCCCGTCGAGCAGTAGAGCGCTGGAAGGCCATGATGAACGCCTCTGTCGATAGGTTGGAGACAAGCTCTAGGTGTAGGGCATCTTGTTACCGCACATGTGAAAAGCGCAATGTACGACTTTTCATCTGATGCTGCAGCCTTTACCATCAGTGGACCGGCAAATCGATCCCGACCACCTCAAAAGGATTCGCTTGGGTGAACCGATCCTGCGGCAAAGGTGCGGTCGGAGCGTTAGCCGGCTTGAGTCGGGCCAATCGACAACCATTACATTTGTTGATGACCTTCTTGGCCAGCTGTCTTGCTCGAGGTATCCAGAACCGCTCTCGGACTTGGGTTAAGGTGTCCTGAAGTCCGCCGTGCAGTGTTCGACGATGGCAGTCTCTTACCAATAACTCAGTGAAGCGGTGATCGGGAGGTAGCAAAAGCGGGTACTTGATCTCGATTGTTTCGTTTAATTGTTGCAGTCGTCCCCCCACTCGCAACAATCGGTTGGGGTCAATGAAGGGGGCGAGCGAGACTATGCTGGATCGCCTTTCCAGTTTCTTATCTGTCTTTAGATCGTTCACTTCTTGTGTAAAAGCTTCCTGTTGCGTTCGTGCGATCCACCAAATCTCGGCTCGTTCAAGTTCTTCGGACGCTAGCGGGCCCTCACGTCGGCTTCGCCGCGATCGGCAGGTCTTTACAAACCGCATAACCCATGCAGTAATCCTGAGGATCCGTTCCAGCGCCCCGTATCGTTCAAGTTCCAATAGAGGTGCAATCCCCTCTGTTGCAGTCTGCAATACGCGATGTTCCAGCTTTCCCTCCTCTGCAATAACTGCTACTGGAACCAGAGGTCGGCATTTTAGGTCGCCCTCACTCACCCTCACCCTCACAGCCACACTCACCTAAGCCCCTCACTCACCCTCACCCTCACAGCTACACTCACCTTCAGCCCCTCACTCACCCTCACCCTCACAGTCACACCTTCAGCCCTTCACTCACCCTCACTGAACCTCACGGCCCTCACGCACTCACCGCCCTCACGGCCCTCACGCCCCTCACGCCCCTCACCGCCCTCACGGCCCTCACGGCCCTCACGCCACTCACCGCCCTCACGCCACTCACCGCCCTCACGGCCCTCACCGCCCTCACCGCCCTCACGGCCCTCAGCGCCCTCACCGCCCTCACGGCCCTCACCGCCCTCACGGCCCTCACGCAACTCACCGCCCTCACGCCACTCACCGCCCTCACGCCACTCACCGCCCTCACGCCACTCACCGCCCTCACGCCACTCACGCACTCATGGCCCTCACGCCACTCAGGCCAGCTTCAGATGGGGCAATTTCGCCCAGAAACTTTACGTCGCAACACCAGCAACACACGCCGCCCGCGATCACAAGCAGCAACCAATTGCTGCAATTTGCCATCGTCATCATAAAATTTTATTTTTCTTGAACTATTTAGACACAATTACGCGTTATAAACGTGTTTTTATGCATTTAAATCTCGTTAAGAATACTAATGCACCTTTCTGAAACAGTTTATTTTCAAAAAACGATCCATTTCAAACGAGAACCAAGTCTTTCGGTGTCATCATCACCGGCACGAGGTATCACGTGAAAATGTTGCGTCCCTGATTAGATGCAGCCACTTCAAACGTATTCGAATTGCTCCGAGTTGCTTGCTTATTTCTTTCGAACCGGACCCGATCTCAGCAATTCGTGTCGATCTAGGGAAAGCTAGAGAACAACCCGCCATTAACATCAAAATTGCTGAGAAAGATGCTCGATCTGAAGGGAGCCTCACGCACTCACCGCACTCACGGCCATCACACCACCTCATGCACTCACCGCCCTCACGCCTCTCATGCCACTCACTGCCCTCACGCACTCATGGCCCTCACATCCCTCACGCACTCACCGCCCTCACACCACTCACGCACTCATGGCCCTCACGCCACTCACCGCCCTCACACCCCTCACGCACTCATGGCCCTCATACCCCTTACCGCCCTCACCGCCCTCACCGTCCTCATGGCCCTCATGGCCCTCACGACCCTCACGGCCCTCACCGCCCTCACGGCCCTCACGGCCCTCACCGCCCTCACGGCCCTCACCGCCCTCACGGCCCTCACCGCCCTCATAGCCCTCACGGCCCTCACCGCCCTCACAGCCCTCACGGCCCTCACTCACCCTCACACTCATGGATTTTCCTGGTTCAAAAACTCACTCACCCTCACCTCACCCGTGAAGATGAGGGTGAGTGAGGGTGAGTGAGGGCCCTCATGAGTGAGGTTTGCCGAGGTATGACTGGAACGTCGTCGCCCATGACGAGGTTCGGCCATACGTCTTCGGTTTTACCAAGCCACTTTGGACCCTTCCACCACAATTGCATACCTTTTAGAGTTTCCGCAGATATTCCCCGTGTCATCAAATCTGCCGGATTTTCTTGTCCGGGGCAGTGCTTCCATGTAGAAGGTGACCCTCCAGATTGGAGCTCTGCTACTCGATTTGCCACAAAGGGCTTCCACTGAGTTGCTGACCCGCGGATCCAGTGAAGTGTGATAGCGCTATCTGTCCAGTAGAATGTCTCTTGAATGTTCATGATCTCTCCAAGATACTGGCCCATCCGTCTTCCAATCACTGCAGTCATTAGTTCTAGTCGAGGTAGTGTTATTCGCTTTATGGGCGCCACACGTGATTTCGAGAATATCAAGTTCACCTCTACCCTCCCATCTTCTCCTTCAGCCCTCAGGTAGGCACAAGTGCCATAGGCCACCGGACTTGCGTCGCAGAAGACGTGTAGTTGGAGAGAACATATGACTTCTGAAGCAATGGTTAGGGTGCAGGCTAGCTGGAGTAAATTTAGCATAGTTGTAACCCAAGACTGGGTTACAAGTTGAGACTTCGTCCCTGTCGTTCTGTGTTTTGTCCCTTGTCCGTATCCCCAGTCTCGGGTTACAACTGTGCTCAATATGACTTCTCTTGGCGTCTTCACGATGCAGCGAGGAATCACTGTCTCTTCTAATTGTGGAAGTTCTGTGCACCACCGCCGCCATTGCACCAGTAGGTCGTCCGTTAGATCGTCGTCCCAACCGATTCCTCGTTCCCAGATTCGTTGAAACAAAACCTTGATTCGTATGACGAACGGAGCAAGGAGTCCCAACGGGTCGAAAACCCTAGCTGATGCACGGAGTACATAGCGCTTCGTCGTCCCACTGCACGTGACGAAGTTCAGGATTCTCTCCACTGGAATGGCCAGCGTGTCAGCGTCACGTCACCAAAGAAGTCCAAGTACAGCTCTCGGCTCAGAGAGTGCAGACGTTGATGCAGCTTTATCGAACGATCTTTGCAGTTCTGTCGCGTTGGTAGACCACTTCCGGAGTCTCATTCCTGCATCTTCTAAAATCTGGCCGGCTTGTTCCTGTATTCGCGCCGCTTCTTCAATAGTGGGGGCTCCGATCAGGAGGTCGTCGACGTAGAATCCCCGTTGAAGCAGTTCCGCAGTCGATCGCAATTCTCCATTGACGTTGCTCAGATGATGAGTAAGAGTGGCGGTTAGTAGAAAGGGGCTGGCCGATGTCCCAAAGGGCACTCTCGTCATCCTCCACCCTTCAACGGTTGGTTCAGAGCTTGCTGACGACGAATCTCTCCGAAACCACAGGAAGCGTAGGACGTCTCGATCTTGAGGTCGAACGCTGACCTGCAGAAACGCCTTTTCTATGTCCGCTGTTAAGGCGATTGGGTGTAGACGGAAGCGCACAAAGATTCCGACCAGATCGGCGTTCAAATTCGGCCCTTTTTCCAGTTGTTCGTTGAGTGAAGCAACTCCTGGGAGATGAGACGAAGCGTCGAAGACGACTCTCAGCCTGGTGGTTTCGGATTCATTCCGAATTACGGGCTGATGGGGCATATAATAAATCCGTGGGTTTGTCGACTCGGCGCAAAATGGGCTCGTTGAAACTTTTTCTGCGTGTCCTGAGGTGATGTAGCTGCGTATGACGTTGTCGTAATCTTTTGCGAAGGACTCGTCGCGTGACAATCTCCTCTTCAAACTCTCAAGACGTTTCAATGCCAGCGTGCGGTTATCCTTCAGTTCTCCCGCGCCGACCCTGAACGGTAGACCGACTTCGTACTGTCCATTCACTTTCCGTATTGTTCGGTTGAACTCGTTCAGCAGTTCGTTCTGTTCTTCCATCTTGCTGGAGGGCTGGTCAGAAATTCCGATGCTCTCTAGCTCCGAAAAACGCCGCAGGATGTCTCCGACGTCCTCGTTCGTGAAGCATTCCGTTCTTAGCACGCATACCATGCTGCTGGCGCTGCCTTTGAGAGAGCTGTGGTTTGACACTGGGCCTTGAAAGGTCCAGCCAAAAATGGTGCTTATAGCTACCAGCTTCTGATTTTCCTTGCAATGCAGCACTTGGTCACCGTTCACTCGCCACAACTGGTCTGAACCGACCAGAAGGGAAATGCCCTCTTCAGCAGTGGCCAGAGGGGAGAGAAGCATGTCCGCAATACGACGACCGTTTTTCATCATACGGCGAACAAATTCGTGGTCGACGGGTACCTGCACAACGTCCTTACAGATGGAGGGTACCTCGACGGCCTCGATGACGCACTCTTCTTGGCCGTATTGGCTGTGCAACCGTACTTGTACTAGTCTCCGACGTTGCGGTCGTGACGTGGAGTGGCCGAACGTATTTAGCCGGAGGCTAACATATCCCAGAACCTTGAGGCCGAGTTTGCGAGAACGATCCTAACAAATGAACGTCCGTTGGTTACCTCCATCGATAATGGCTCGCACGTAAAGTCTTTGCTTTCCTTCCTCAGCCCAGGCTCGGAATGTTTGAAGAAGCTCTTCGGAATCCAATGGGACGTCAGCACTGTCGGAGATTGCGTTCTGGACGCTTGTCGCAGGGGCACCTCTATCCGATTTCTTCACGTTAGGTTTCCAGTTCGGGTCGCACATGGATGTGGCATGTCGACCGGAGCACGACGTGCATGTCATTTTCTGCCGACACTCCCTCGCCCGGTGCCCTCCGATTGTGCATCTGAAGCAGCGGTTTTCTTCCGCCAGCCTCCTTTTCTTCACCTCTAACGTGAGGTCGCCAGTACATACTTCTGTTGCGTGCTTTGTGGACCGGCAAAAGAAGCAGGGGCTTGTGATATTTGCATGTAGCACAGAGGCTGCTGGCATTCTGGGTCTTTCAGTCCTTTTCTTCTGCGTCTCTTGCCGTTCTTCTACTACTCCGGCTCTCTCCCTACTCTCAACTTCGATCCGAAGGAAGCTTAGAATATCGGCGAGCTCATCTTCGGCATCGGCGAAAGAGGGCGGCCTTGAAGCGCTCCGGGTGGAAAGTGGTCCGTCGACAGAGTGTCCGGTGTCCTGCACCGCTGGTGAAGTCAGTGAAGTCGGACTGTTTTGCGTTTCTCCCGTCGACCTGTAGGCAGTGCTGCTTGCCTGCTGCCGGTGATAATTTATGACGACTTCGCTCGGCAAGGCCTTGAGGAGGATATCGGACATCATCGTGCAGTACGTTACCGATCCCACGCCGAGCCCTTTCAGACCTCGGATGTTCGTCTGGACGTGATCGTACATCTTTCGGAGGCCTTTCGTGTCTTTCGCGGAGGCCACAGGAGGCAGTGCTCGGAGCTTCGCCAGATGATTTTGCTCGATCCTTCGTTTATCACCGAAGCGCAGTGTCAGGATTTCAATGGCATCGTCGTAGCAGGCCTCAGTTGCCTGGAGCCCAGCGATGGCCGCCGCCGCTGGTCCGGTGACATGGTTGCGCAGGTACTGAAACTTGTCCGATCGTGGCATGCTATCGTTTTCGTGGATAGCACGACCGAACTGCTCCCAGAAGCTCTGCCACGCGCTAACCTCGCCGTTGAAAGTTTTAAGTCGTAACTTGGGAAGCTTCACGCCGCTAGTCATGTTGGTGCGATTTCTTCCCAGGTCTGTAGTGGCAGTCGCAGATGTTGTCGCGGATGTGGTCATCTGGGTGGCCTGTGCCTGTTGTTCTTTACGTCTCAGTGAGTCTGCCTTGCAGTCCAACAACGCCATCATTCGGATGGCCTCGTCGTCGTACTCCGTGACCGTAGTGTACTCTGCGACGAGGTCTTGTTCCGATATATGATCTTCTACCTCCACGTTCAACTCTTGAAGAGCCCTGTTATTGGCCTTCAGCCTTTCTAGCCAGGCAGTCAGCGATGCCAGGTCCGCTGTCTCCATCCCCGCTGTCGCCTCATGGATAATTTTCGTGTTTAGCGACCGCTTCACTCCAAGTTTTGCCTTGAGACGTTCCATGTTTGACGATCTCCCACACAGCTCTCGGAAACAGCGTTCCAGGCAGGTGTTCCACAAAGGTGGAAAATCCGCTCACCTCAATCGTTCTCGTTCCCGGGTTTCGCCACCATAATGTCTCAGAATTGAAGAGGTGGTGTGGGCGTGGTATCTAAATCAGGCAATAAGCGTAAAAACAAAACACAAACTGTATTTACACTAATAAATCAATTGAATATACATCATTACACAGAAGTGTCTCGATCGGCTTCTGTCGTTCGCCTCGTTCCGCTCGTGCCTCGAGCCTTCTTCTTTCTTCTCGTTTCTCGTGAGCTTCAAATTCTTTCCAATCTGCAACAAGTCGCTTGTTCAGAGTGACTCCGAATTACGCTCCGAAGCTGTGTATCCAACGATAGGGTCGAAATTACCGGTCACTAAGGGGCTGAAGGAACACCGATCCCATCATTCTTTTAGCGTGGGCCAAGCGCTTGGGGGAAATAGCAAATGGTCTATAGGAGCCAGAAAAACACCGTGCGGGCTGGGAAGGGGCGTAAGCGACGGATTAGAATCTATCTATCTAGCAGAGCGTCTGTTGGCAAAACCGTTTATAATTTCCACTTCCCAGCCGAGCCTGTTCTTCTGGATGTGTTCTTGTAAGTGTTCCTTCTTTTTTTTTTCACGTTTAGTTTACGAGAATTCTAAAATTTTGATGATTTTTTTCCCTCATAATGAGACTAACACAATAATAAAAGTTTAATTTAAGGCTATGATACGGATTTATTTATGGTTCACCACCTGTCGCCCGCATTGCAAGTTTTCTTTTTTTTTTTTAGGTTTACGTTTGAACGGATTCCTCTGCATCCTCGTGCATTCACATCTGAAAGACCCCGTAAATATATTTGAAGCTAAGGAAAAGCGTATAATCGAAATGTCCAGACTCAAAGGCAGACCCACGAGAAAAATGTGGATAGACAAAAGAGAAAGAAAGAAAAAGGGTGAAACGAATTGAAAGAGATTAAGGAGCTGCGGATGGGAGACCAACGCCGAGAGAGAGCGCGAACCGCAGAGTCTAATGGAGAAGAAAGAAGGCTGATAGCGTCCACATGGACAGGTGCTTAATGACCCCCGTGGACAAACCGCTCTGATTAGAATGCATGGCTCTGGTAGATTAGCGTGGTCCACGCGGCACAGAGTCACTGAAATGCATCAATTGTATGCGCCGTTTTTTTTTTTTTTTTTTTGTTTTGTTTTGTTTTAAATATCATTTGTGAGGTTTAGCGTTTAGAATGAAGCACATTGTAGGGGAAATCAGTCTTCTATCTTGTATTACTGCTATGAGGCGCCATTTTCTGCTAATGACAAGGTACGGCAAAACGACCGATGGCTAGTAGAACAGGAAAGGAAGGTAGTCGAACAGGCGCCGGCCAATAAACACTGTCCAAAATTCACTGCCATGTCAGTGTCAATAAGGAGTTTCTCTTTCGGCAAACTGATGGCAGCTATTAACTGTAATTCATCCGTCACCGTCACTTTTGCACATCAATGTATGGCAGATTAAAATTGGTTCTTTGATCCCCACGTAATTATTTTTTCCATTATTATTAGTCTATGATTCGACTCTGTGAACAGAATAACTGACCAGCCAAAAGCGGCAACTCATAATACTTTTAAATAAAATTTCGCCGTCAAAAGGCTATATAGACAAACTTTCGGAAAGAGTTTGACGAGACCTCACTCCACAACAAACAGTTACGCAGCCATTGTACGGTACTCAATTTGTTAGCCGTGATATACTAACGCCTCAGACGTAAAGGCCTGATATGGACCAACTCGACTCTTCTACGTAACACCGCGGCGGTTGCGCTTCCAGCGCACATCCGGTCTGGGGTTTTGGCAAGAGACACCATGCCGACCGGGCATTATGTAATTTGTTTTTGCTTAAAAAGCAGCATTTTTTCAGGATTCCGCGGAGTTGTTTAGACTGAAGCTACAGAAGGAAAAATGTCAAGCTTAGTTTTCACGGGTTTTCTACATGCGCGATCTGTCCAAGAACGTGGGCAAAGAACTTAAAAAGAACAAAACTACACGTTGTCGGACCTTGATCGCCTATCTAAGAAGCATTTTGGCGTGAATTCGAAGATACTTGTTGTAATATTAATTTCTACTGTTCCCACACGTACGCCGGAGAACCGCCGGGTGGTCCAGACCACCCGGACTGCATTAAGTGCCTCTTCACGTTACAAGGGCCGTCTGCACGTTGTAACGAACATCTTCACGTTCAAACGACAATGACCCGCAGACCACGTCAATGGTATACGCGTCGTCGACACGGTAATTTTGGATAAGAAGTAACTCTAGGCCACTAAACACAGGTAACCGGTAAGTGTGTTTGGGTAAATCAGCTTGCTATAAACAGAGGATCAGGTGACGCTGCTTGTCGTAACTTGTGGTGCTCGCCGATTTAGGAGGCCGCATTCGCACGACCCAGTTTTGCTTGCGATTCTCAATTTCGATGTCGAGTACCGCAGTTTCAGTCTACGTTTCTTTCGGAGCACGAGTGGTGTCGAAATAGAAAATAGCGAGCCGGATCTCATTATTGGAATCCAGCCTTAAAGGGACCATAAAATTAATTTTGGACTGCGATCAATGATTTATATTGAGACTTTAATAATCGCATACCGTGTATAGTGGGCAAAAAGAAAAGTGGTGGGCGAGGGCAGAAATCCGAAAGCCTGCTTTTCTGTGCAAAAGTTTCAAACTATAGCGGACTGTATCTTACCCCCTTCCCTTAGAAAGCACTCCGCCTTTTCACAGCGATGCATGTACGGTGTCCAAGCACGTGAGCCGAACCCAGCTCACGCATTGTACACTAGCAGTGCGTCATTCGAATTTGTGAGCTCGTCAGCTATCAATCCGTCGATGAATATTTAGATTCGTGCTCCTGGCCATTCAATGCCGTAACGGCGCTTCTCATCACTCGCGAATGACAAGTTCCACGGTGTTTTTTAAAACACGCGGTGGAGGCTTAGAGTCGCCGAATCCTGTGCCCAAGCACTTTACAACGACGCGATTTCTTATATCGCTTTTCAGTTGAAGATTAAAGCTAAGAAGAAAGAAGTTCAAAAATCTGTTCATGGTCCCTTTGACTTTGATTCTGCGGCGTCCACACCGAATGAACCGTCTTTTGTCGCATTATTCGTTCGTAGCCCCGGTGCCACTAAACTTGCATTCATCATCGCATCATTCACACAAAATTTTGAAACGTATTAAGCCTAGAGCTTGTCTAAAGTAGCCGAACAATGCTAGGAACATGCAGAATCAAGAATTCTAATGTATATGTTGCCCGGCAACTAACACCTACGCCGAAAACGTCAGATGCCAACCAATGGCTTGTTGAGGCGGCGGAGAAAAGCTCACCGGAGAAAAGCTCACCGGAGAAAAGCTCACCGGAGAAAGGCTCACCGGAGATAAGCTCACCGGAGAAAAGCTCACCGCAAAACGGACAGATGCGGAAAAAAGCTCACCGATTTTTTTCTTTTTTTTTTCTTCTTTTTCTCCGCATCCGCAGGTTTTGTGGTGAGCTTTTCTCCCTTGAGCTTATCTACGGTGAGCTTTTCTCCGGTAAGCTTTTCTCCGGGATTCGGCTTGTTGATGGGGGACGGCGCGCGGCTCGCGCAGAACCCATCGCGCATAGTCCGCGCAACAAGGGGTGGGGGGCACCGCTTTGATCGCAAACATAAGTTGGTGTACATGCTGCGCTTGTTCATATCTTAAACTTGTCATTTCATCAGCCTCAAAAAGGCACAGACATTTTATACACCTAACAATGATAGTGATCAAAGTTTGCATACGGAATTGTAAATAACAGCCTCTAATGGCCTCACGTTTCCTCGTGCTGGTGTTTCGCGCTTAATGCATAAACCGACACGAACTCCCCACTGTCAGCAACAAGTGCTATTAAATAAAAAGAAAATAGTTCGCACCCTTTTGATAAATTTTTTTGGAGTTGGACATTTTTATGCATGGGCTAAAATGTACTTCGATATTGCGTGAATAGCCTCGCGTTTATTTTGTGCTAGGCTTGTGGTCATAACGTCTCGAGTAGGAGTATTGTTTATATCATCGACCGAAATAGGAGCGAATTCAGACTCTCCTCTCTGAAGGTGTTGACTAGGAACGTAAAGACTAGGCTTCCTCCACGCGTTTTATGCACCATCGAACTTGTCGCTCGCGACTAGTGGTTTTCGTCGTGGCGTCGTGGATAGAAAGAACAAGAGGAAGCCACCGAAACTTCTCGTCACCAAGTAGTTCTGGGTCGCTAAACTCGTCAAGCACAACTTTGTGTCCGAAAGTTGCGGAACGCGCTAATTGGACTCTCGCGACGCTGACGTCGCGCCGAGCGAGGTGTCAATCATTCAAAGCAAAGTTCATCGAGGCGCGCGTGCGGCGCGTGAGGGGCGCGAGGAGCCCGCTGATTGAACGGCTTCGCCGATGACGTAGCGCCCATTTGTCCCTACATCCCTACGCCAAGCTAAAATTAATGCTTTGCAAATTGTCCCTTGGCCACCTACTGACGCTCAAAATCCCTCCGAAGTTTGTCTTAAAAAGAAACCTCGTTTGTCGAAGTTGTCGCTGACGTCAAAGTGACGTTTCCGAACTTTGCGAGAGCCGTGGTTTGAGCTCGAGTTCTTCGCTTCGGATCGAGGCGAAGTTAAACTTTGTTAACATGGCGGTGCCGTACGCTGCGGCCGAGCTTATCTTCCGCCACCGTCGGCGTCGCTACTGAGTCCACTGGGGACGCCTTTACACTCCCCGACGACGACTTTCGGCGATAGTACCGGCTATCGAAAGCCGTTGTGCGTTGACTCTCCGACGAGCTTCGTTCGCCGCCTCGGACCGTGGAACAACAAGTTCTCTGCGCGCTCCGGTTCTTCGGAACCGGTAGCTTTCAAGGCATGGTGGCGACTGACGAACACCTGTCAGTCTCCCACATGACTGTGAACCGGGCTGTCAGAGTTTTTGCG